AAAGACATGAAAGGAAGCTCTAGAATCTAGAACCCACGGGGATAAACCTGACCGTGTAGATGGTGATCCCTTAGTGTCGGAAACATTTGCCATAGAACCTGCAGCACCCATCGAAGAAGAACCTGAAGCGGCAACAGATGCTAATTAAAGATATCTTGCTCAGTCAGAGAGACAACCGAGGGTGTCAGAGTAAAAACACGAATCCCAGAAGAAGAGTTGCGCTCCCTATTGCGCAGGTGCAACTGCTTCTTAAAGCAATCTGACCCAGGGAGACCATCTCTGTTACAGTAGCCGCAATTAGTACGAGAGCGACCCTCACCACCAGGAGGAGTGGGTAGGAGCGACGGAGCACTAGAGTGAGAAAGAGCTGGTGCAGCAGGCGGCGTAGCAGGAGCTCAAGTAAACCAACACCATCTAGGTGAGTCTCCTTAGCACGAATCTCAGAAAGCGCCCCCATAAGAGAACACGACCATGAGCAAATAGTTGAGCGTGCCTCGGTTCAAACTCCTTATGAAACTAGTAGACGGGCTGAAACTCCAAGTCTAACCTAACGACATGGCAGCATTTGCATGAAGCACAACCAGTAATGCGGGTAGAAATCATCAATAGTGGAGTCACCCTGCTTAAGAGCATGCTCGTGGCGATCCACCTACTAGTATTGGGCATCACCAGAGGGCTAATAGCACTATCGAAGATGGGTCCACATCTTGAAGATGTTAGTGAGGCCATAAACTCAGAGGAAAACTAAGGTAGAGCACTGGCCCTGAGAACAATTGCAGCATGAGTATCATTATCAAAGCACCGAGTCTAGACAAACAACTCATCATGGTAAGTGAGAAGAGCCTGTTGATAGTCCAAGACCTATGCTCATAAGTAGCAACTGCAGCATTGTTGGAGTATTTTTTGGTAGATTCCTTGATAGGGTATTCGGCCAGAAGAGTAGATCCGATGGTAACAAGGGCAGAGTTTTACCTAGGTCCAGGCCCTCGTAGAAGAGGTAATACCGTACTCCTGCTTGCGTATATTATCTGTGTATAGGGGTTACAAAGATCGAGGGATTGAACAAAGCTCTAGGGTTCTGTTGTGTCTATTTGACTAGCCTAGCCCTAGCTTATATGGGTACCATGGTCTAGGGTTACATGATCTAAGTCGGTAAGGAGTCCACTGGATGTCGGTTGCCTTGTCTTGTACTCCAAGCCTTCTGGGCCCATTACGATTGTAGAGCCCTAGGTCGGGATGATCTGCTCATGACATAACCGGCCTATGGGGGCCCAGGCTGGCCTACTCAGGCCAGCTTCCGGTAAGGTGAGGCACCCCTAGGCCGTAACATCGTAAGTAGCCCCGAAACTAGTCTTCAAATCTGACTGCCTCTTGGTTGGGGTCGATCTGCTGGCACTGGCCTTATTAGCTTGTCAGAGTGGAAGTCGGTTCATGAAGCTCCCCTATTCTTGAATTGTCGGTGTATGTAGCCGTCCACGGTGAAGTCTTCTCGTGAAGCTGGCTTCCGTAGGCCGATTTCCTGTATAGTACTTGTGAAATCTATTTGAAGCCAGAGGTCAGGTCCTATGGAGGGACCGGACCGGGCGCTGGTCCAACAGGGCGAACCGAACCACCATTGTCAGGTTGGCCGTCAGTCAACGTGACATGTGTGTGGGATCGTGGTGCCCATCTGAGCCACGTCCCATCAGTCATTATGACGTGACTAGATGACACGTCTCGTATTGGATGACACGTCTCGGACGCCGGCGTTATTAAATGCCTCAATCCCCGCGCGCATCAAGCGTGGGATAATTGGGAATTGGGAGGCTAAATCTGCTGCGTGTCACGACAAGGTCGCACCGCTTCCTTTTCGTCTGGTGTTTATAAGGGAAAACCACCAAGGGGTTTCTGCACTTGGCCCTTTTTGTTCTTCTCCATCTTGCTTTTAAGCGCTCCGCTTCCATTGTTGTCGTCGTTGCTGCTGCTCAATCTCCAAGCTTTCCACTCATTCCATCTCGCACCGCCCACGTACGCAATCTTGCCCCCATGCCTCCCAAGCTAGGGAAAGACCCAGAGGCCGAGGGGCACCTCCGTGGGCAAGGTAAGCGCCGGCAAAGAGTGTCGAGACAACAAGGGGAAGTTGAAGGTTGCATCTAACACCAAGCGCAAGCGAATGACGTCCACTGCCACCGAAGGGCATCTCACACACCTCATCGAGCTGGGCAGTTGCCGCTGTCCGAAGTCGTTGAGTGTCGCTTGCTGTGACGACCAACGCGAACGGGGAAGGCGTCACCGAGGTTGTTCCACGCCCGCATGGCAGCGAGCACGTATGCTTTATCCCATTTCTTCGCGGTTTGGTGTTCCCTCTTCATCCTTCTTTAGGGAACTTTCTCCACTTACTACGGCCTCCAACTCCACCATTTGACCTCGAATGGCATCCTCCATATAACATGTTTCATGGCCCTGTGCGAGTTGTTTCTTGGCTGCGAGCCGCCCTTCGGCCTTTGATGCTGCTACTCCTCGGTCAAGCTCCAGACCATTGTGACAGAGACCTGCGAGTGCGGGGGTGCCGCCATCACCAAGGTGGCCGGATCCAGTTACCTCGACGGAGAGTTGGTCGAATCCAACAAGAAGTGGCACATCAAGCTCGGCAATCTGCCAATATCCTGACTCATCGAGGCCTTCACCCTGGTTCCACCAAGAAAGCGCAATTCCTGGAGCTCGAAGTACACCCCGGCCGGCAGCAAGGAAATCACCAAGCTGTACCTGATAGTACTGGACTATGCCAAGCGCGGGGTCACCATGGTCGAGCTCCATGTTCCCATAGCATATTCTTCAAAGATGGGAATATGTGGTAGATGGGTCAATAATTCTTGCAAAGTATGTTAGGAGTTGTTCTTGACTCCATAAAAATTTCCAAGATGCCCCGAATTCCCACAAGATGTTTTGGGAATCCAATCCGATTATGTAAAATTCCTGCAAGGTATTTTCTAGTCAAATATGGCTATAAAACTTGCGGAAGGGGCCCGCATTCCCACAAATATTTCTGAGGACGAATATATCTCCATGAAAATCCCGGCTTAATAGGAATGATTGACTACTAATATCAATAAGGTGCACCTTCTCTTCCGGGAGCCCATCTAAAAGGAACCTTATGTTAAGCTTCATGCACTAGCCAACGCAATTGAAAGTCCGAACTAATGGAAAGGGCTAGGCAATCCACATATAGACTTCAACACCCCCTCTCACGTGTGATGCGGGGAAGTCAACACGTGAATAGACTCAGAGGTATGGCTCAAGAGGCCTATACGTGGACAGCGAGAGGGGCAACAACATTTTTTTGATAAATTGGGAAAGCCAGGACTTGAACTCAAGATCTTAGGCTTTGATACCATGTTAAGCTTAATGCACTAACCAACGCAACCAAAAGTCTGAACTGATGGAAAGGGCTAGGCAATCCACATATAGACTTCAACACCTTAAAGTTAAGCGTGCTTGGCTTGGAGCAATGTGAGGATGGCTGACCAGCTGGGAAGTTGATCCCGGGTGCGCATGAGTAAGGACAAAGTGCGCAGGAAAGACTAGTGTTGGTTTGTGGGGCTAGTCTAGATCCTAGGTGGTAGCCAAGCGCAACGACCAGGAACTGGGGTGTTACAACTGGTATCATAGATGACCCTCTCAGGTACACGGGCGTGTGCGGGTCAGCTACGCGGGCCAGTGGTGCATGGTGCGTGTGGCCGTCGTGGCACATGGCATGACGCATGTGCCGGACTGGACGCATAGATGTGTGCCAAGAGCGAATGTTCCTACTGGGTCGACAGGGATGTCGATTCCTTTGAGTGGGGGTATTCGTGACATCTCGGCTTAATAGGAATGATAAACTAATATCAATAAGGTGGACCTTCTTTTCTGGGAACCCATCTGAAAGGAACCTCAAAGTCAAGCGTGCTTGGCTTGGGGCAATTTGAGGATGGCTGATCGACTAGGAAGTTGATCCGGGGTGCGCACGAGTGAGGACAAAGTGCGCAGGAAAGACTAGTGTTGGTCTGTGGGGCCACTCTAGATCCTAGGTGTAGCCACGCGTAGTGGTTGGCAACGGTGGGTGACCCGTGGGTTGGACGGGGCGTTACACCAAGGAAGCCTCCAAATAGTGTATGGATTCTCTCCTTAGTGTGCTACAATCCACCTCCTAGCCCAACTAGAGGCATATGGGCCAAAGGATGCAAAATTATGTAGTTCTACCCTCCTTACTTCAAGGGTAGCCTTGGTCATTTGTCAAGGATTCTAGGCTCTATATGGCCTCCCATGAGCATGTAAAAGTCACTCCTGTCTTGAGTAAACTCAAGAGGAAGGCCACTCTCCCTGTCTAGCTCTCTCAGGAGAGTTAGGAAGGCCAAGATGCGGAGTTCGAGGGACGTTGAAAGTCCCATTAGTCAGGAGTCGTGGGACTCGAAAGCGGAGACAAGTGTTCCGTGCGGCCGGCACCACTCTCGACGACCCTCCCATCTAAGTGTTCCTTGCGCCAGGCACCACTCTCGACGACCCTTCCATCTAAGTGTTCCTTGCGCCAGGCACCACTCTCGACGACCCTCCCATAGGACGTAGGTCGGGCTCCCACAAGGTAACTGAACCTAGTTAAAAAACATCGTCGTGTCACTTTGTTGAGTGTACGGTGATCTTCGCTATAAGGCCGCCATACGCACCATCTCCGACTCATCCGTAACCACGTTGCGAAGGATATCCCTAGTTGAAAGTTCATTTTTGAACGTCAACAAGACTCATCGATGGTAGTGTCTTGAGAAATCCACAACCATCGACCAAGAAACATGCCAATTAGCTTAAGAAACATCACCTGCGACATACCCTAAAAGCCAATGCAGAAGAGGGAAGAGAGACACAAACTCGAAACATTTTGGTTGCATATCTTTTATCTTTTTGGATCTATCTGGCAGTAGTTAATATGATCTCTATAGGGATTTTTACATTGACTTTTATTCTAATTATACATACAAATTCTGTAGGTTCCACTCCCTTTGTGCATACATGGGTGATGACGATATGTTCAGTTCTGATCTTAGTGAAGATCAGCTGAAGCAGAGACTTGGTCATATGTCAACCACACAGTGCCTGGTATTGTTACTCTTTACTATTTGACCTTGTTAAATCACTTAAAAACAGGAAGTTCTTCAGTGATCTCATTGCCAAGAATGATAGTAAACATAATATTCAAGTTGTCCATTCTCTTCTGATGGCAGGGAGCTTTGTGATTCTTTCACGATTTTTGACCTTAATTTTATGCTGATCAATGGTTTTCACCATCCATATTGCCAAAGATTTTTTGGGGATTTTTTTCCATTAAAGAACCTATCAGTATTCCTATACGAAGTTACACAATCTCTGCATGTCATTGACTTTTTATGTGCGATGACAGTATCTGGGACTTCAAATAGCTGGACTTATTGGTAGATAAACAACACAAATATACCATGGTGCTTTTCTTGAGCACTTCATGACTTCTGTGGAGATAAGAAATGAATATCTTGGAAATTAGTACTAAGTAGTCATTTGCTAAGAAAATATTTCATCAGGTATTGAACATCATGTTCGTCCCTGCTTTATCTTTTATGACATGGACAGTTGGATGCTTGCATTTATACTAGAAGCGGACGTGCGCTTTGCCGAGCCGCTTTTCGATAATAGGGTCCACTTCTTTTTTTGCGCTTCTACCTGTCAAACCTCAGGTCAGAAGACGATGCAGCCCTAGGCCTGCCCAGCTGATGAACGGATCCCTCTCCTCAGCAAGCAGGACATGAGAGGTAGTGCTGACACACGGAAGGTCAACGGCGTAGCGGAAACCGCTCCCTTCAGCAACAAAGCACCTCTACAGCCCTCCCGCACAATCACAATGCCACAAAGAGCAGCCCTATGCCCATGAGCCAACCACATGGGTTATTCCCCACGCCCCACGGAACCGAAACCCCACGAGCGACAACACATAATACACAAAGCCTTACATGCACGCCACTCATACCCACAGGTGGGCCCATCAGATGTACACAAGCTCTCCACGGATTGACAGCCAGGGCCATGCGATACGTCCAGCCCTGATGCACCACAAAGCTCCCTTTGTATGGAGTTTGGCATTTGTACTCGATTTTTCACCGCTCAACATACTGACCTGACAAAGCAGAATGAGCCAGCCACTTACAGGTGGGTCCACAAGCGCTAACCACAGCCCCAATGCACCAGAAGCCTCCCTTCGTACGGAGCTTAGAATCTGTAGGGATTGGTACCAGTGTACATGTAAAGATGACAGTTGATTTCTAAGATAAGATGAAGGCACAATGCAAAGATACTAGAAATTAAGCTGCATTTGGATTAAATGGTTATGAACCGGTGTTCTGAAAATTCAATTCTTTGCCTCAATGCATGTTGTGAATTTAAGTGTATGCTGCAAAGTGCACAAAATGACTTACTTTCGTTGGTGTTGTGCATGGTTGCATTATGAATTCAGTTTCGAGTTTCCGACTTCTTATGGCTGCTGAATTTTACATCTTGTAAGTGTTTTATCCGCAGGTTATTTTTTCAATGGCGGATGAGTATGTCCCTGAATACGTCGATAAGAAGGCACTTGTAGACAGGTGAAAATCTAAACCTAAATGGAGCAAATACAGATCCAATATGGTAACATAATCAAGTTACATGTTTCACTGCAGACTCTGTCGTGCACTTGGAGATTCAGAGAAAGTTGAAATAAAATGGGGAAACCATGCTCTTTCCAACAGGGTGCAAGAGGCTGTCGAGGTTATTGTAGATTTTGTTAAGAGGGAGGGACCCAAAGGATGGGACGATCCATGGAGCTAGATACAGCAGTCATATGATGCAATCTTTACCCCCCTTTACCTGTTAGAATCTTTCATTTTTGCAGTTTTATTGGTCCAATTTTCTGTGTACTAATGTTCTGATCTATTTATTTTATTGCGTAAACCCTTGTCTAGAACTTGATTTTCGATCTCGTGCTCATCTGTGGACATTCAGATTAACTGTTTGAAAATTGTAAGTTGTAATGCTACTATCTCTGGAATGTTCCTCTTTGTCTATTCAGAATTGTTTTTTTAAGGCTATTCAGAATGGTTAGTTATGCAATCATAATCGTGCAGAATGTTCCTCTCTGTGATTCATTATGTCACCCTGGAGTTATATATTTTTTATATGTTTCACAAGGCATGATATTGGATGTAATAACATACTCCCTCCGTCCAAAAATACTTGTCATCAAAATGAATAAAAATAGATGTATCTAGAACTAAAATACATGTAGATACATTTCCTTTTATCTTTTTTGATGACAAGTATTTCCGGACGGAGGGAGTATTATATTATGGGAAGGAGGGAGTAATATCTTGTACATTTTTCATTTGACGTTTAACCATTGTACTTTCTTCATGACAAAAACAAATCTTTTTTCATTGCATCTCTGTTCTTACTCTATACGGCTTATTCATAATATTTAGTAATCATCTTATTTGCTGACATATATCCTATTATATAGTCAATGATATATTCATAATATTTAGTAATCACCTTATTAATGGTTTCTTGTTTCTTTTTGTCTTTGGTTTAAGGGATCTTTAGTTCCGATGAACACTCCGCTTTTGTGGTCATGTCCGTGCTATATTCACTCCATTTTTGTTTCCGCTAGTATTCGTTTCTGTATTTGTTTTCAGGGTTTCTGTATTAGTTTTCGCTTTCGTAAAAAATGAAAACAGAAGTGGCGGCACCTAGTTCCGACCGTTTCGCTCCGTTTTCATCCTTAGATCTAGTATTACTTGCCTATACCTTTTCTTGTAGTTCGCATCAATAGATGTTTTGGTACACTTGTAAATCCATCATTTTCTCTGGATGACAAAGTTTAACCGAGTTGTTCCTTTGTTTTTTACCGTATGTCTGCCTACTATTCCCGTGGTTTATGCTCGAGATTTGTTCTATGTAAAGGCTCATCATCAGCTATGCTTTTTCTCCTCCCGTGAGATATTTACACCCCCAAGACAACTAGAAGAGCATTGCACAACATCTTGCAGAAAGGACCCCATGAAAAATTAGTACAACTTTGGGGAACCCAAATGCAAGACAACCAACCATCGTTGTCATACTTTATTGTCGCCGAAGCTTTGCCGAACAAAGAGGAGTCACCAACTTGCCTAGAACCAAACAAATGCCATAGCAAACAGTGTTGTGTTGCGAGTTGATGAAGCGGGCCGCTGCGCGACCCGAGACCTGGTGGTGGCTCGTTGGTCGGGGATCATCGCCACGCTCTTTGGCCCACGGCCTTGCCTCCCTCAAACAAACCGTCGAAGAGGAGATTAGAAGATGCCATCCAGCAACCATACATCATGTGCGGAACCATCAATCTTCTAGATGAGGTTGTTACCATCATGCTCGAGCGAGACATTAGCTGCATCCAGAACAAGGCCATCGACCTCGGCCACATCGTTGGAGCAGATGTCCTCATGGTGGCGGGATTGAAGCACACATATCCTCCACAAAGTAGTCGCCGCCCTTACGCCAAACTTGCTTGAACACGGTACCAACCCGATCCAGCACCGAGTATAGAGGATGCTACATCAGAGAAGGATCTGGAGACAGTTTATTCCCCGCCGCAAATCCACCAAAGTGGAGACCATGGAAGGCTGAAATTCTAAGCAAACTAGCCCTATAAAGCTGCTACTACACAGCACGCGCACAGTCTAGTGACCCCCCTCCCTACCAGATCAGGGGAGGAGAGCCGCTGGAGACAACGTCAGTGAACAGTTTGCCTCTTCTCCACTGGGAGGAGAAGAGCGAAGCGAAACAATTTCTTATACATGATGACATCTGTTTGTTTGTCCTATCGAACACATTAACGTACGCGCCATGGGCTCGGACTGGGAACAATATTTGCATCGAGAGATTTAACTAGGCAGGCGCTCGTGTGGCCAGTCATCACGACTGCATGGGCGAGCCTTCTCGCAGAGAAAATTGAAGAGAGAGCTATACACCCCTCTTGAAAATTGAAGGGCATCTCGACGATCAAGAGACTATCTATCTATACGGATGACGTGGCCATGTTCATCAGGCCGTCGAGCCAGGACCTGAATGGAGTGAGGAACATTCTTAACTTCAGTGAAGCTTCAGGATTGCATATTAACTATCAGAAATCTTCGGCCATCCTGATTAGAGGAAGCGAGGAGGACAGAGCTAGGGTGGCGGGCATGCTTCAATGCAACATTGCCGAGTTCCCCTGTAAATATCGGGGGCTCATGCGGGCAATCCAGAGCCTGACAAGAGCGGAGTGGCAGCCGATGCTTGATAAAGTCAGTAGATTCGTCCCTGCATGGCAACAGGGACTGACTCAAAGGCCCGGCCGCTTAGTCCTGGTGCAGTCAGTTGTAGCAGCTAAACCTATCCACCACTTCATGGTCATGGACGCACCGGACTGGGTTTTCGAGGACATCAACAAATGGATGCCAACTTTTTTCTGGGCGGGCAAAGACAGAGTTCATGGAGGGCAATGCCTTGTGGCCTGGGACATAATCTGCAGGCCTAAGAGCGTGGGTGGACTTGGGGTTATAGAGCATGATTGGTTTGCTACCAATATTTGGCTAGCCAAATGTTGGCATTGCCAAATATTGGCAATACCACGACTTGCCAAATATTTGCAACTTTATGTGAGATAGGCAAGACAACTTGGTAACCAACCAATTAGTAGCCAATATTTGGCACAATGCCAAACATTGGCATGCCAATTTTTGGCACCAAACCAATTATGCTCATAAACCTGAAAACGCAAGGCCTAGCTCTCCGGGTGCGGTGGGAGTGGCTTCGAAGGACAGATCCACAAAGGTCGTGGCAAGGCCCGCCGATGATCAAAGATAAAGATGCCTACCTGGTATTTGACACGCTAGTGCATATCAATGTAGGCTCTGGAGACAAGGTGCTCTTTTGGAGGGACAAGTGGATCCACGGCTGCTCGGCAAAGGACATTGCCCCCCGAGTTAGTGGCCACGGTGCATAAACGCATAGTCAATACCAAGACGGTGCAGCAGGAGCTGAAGAATGATCAATGGAGGGTCGATTGTGAGGTGGACCACTCATACCTAGCCTTGGTACAACAAATGCACCTGTCACAAGCTATTGCCACAGTGGAGTGTGACCCGAGCAGGCCAGACAAGTTCTCTTGGCCATGCTCGCAATCGGGAGTCTATACGGCGAAATCACTCTACAACAACTTGTTCATCAACTTTGAGAAATCTAACACGGCGGCTTGCACCTGGAGGAGCTGGGCACCGCTTAAGTGCAAATTGTTCGTTTGGCTCGCACCACAACATCGGCTATGGACCTCGGATAGAAGGGCGAGACACAGGCTAGATGAGCAACCATCATCATGCTTCCTTTATTTGCAAGAGGAAGACAATATTGAGCACATTCTCGGAGGATGCACCTATGCGTGGGATGATGAGGACATCAATACCATTGTTACACCCCAAGCCCCTGCAGCTATACATACTGGACCAATTACTAGAGCTCGCGCACGCCAATTGAATTACCAAATACTTTCATTTCTTGGTAACGATTCTAATGTTCCTGAGAATATGATGCTGCCTAAATTGGGTACATTTGTTTTGCTTACAAATGAAGGGCCTAACTTGGACACAAAAGATGAACCTTGGAGCAAGTTTAAGCATGGAGATGATGGCATGCGCAAGGGAAACAAGAACAGAGTTACCAGTGATGATTCCAGGACTTCGAACCCACCATAATGAGTGCATGAAGCCTTGGACGAAATATACAAGATGCCACTACATAAATTTCGTCCAAAGGCTATTCTAGGTGCCGTGTCACCTTATTATTGGCCCAGGCCCATGTAATTTCGAAATACTTGATTATAGGCTATTTTTAGAGTCTGTATGTGTGGGGAAACAAGAGTTAGGGTTGGTTTCAGACCCCTCCTCTAAGGGCCACGAAATCCCCCCCCCCCTCTTCCTCCATATATACAGCCCTTAGGGCATCATTTAGACTTTGGGTTTTGTTTAGATAAAAGTTCACCATAGCTGCAACTTCTCGTACTTTGTTTGTGTTCAACGACCAGACCAAGACGTCACAGAACCCCATCTTGATAAATAAAGCTTTCATCTTATATTCCCAATATCCAGATTGCAATCTTAGTTTCTTGCTTGTTCTTCGTTTGCTCGCAGGATGATCGTGCTCCGGCATGGTCAATAACCCTCGGAAGTTGGTTTAGCGATTGCTAAGGCGCGGCGTCTTCGCACATTCTGTTGGGGAGCGTAGTAATTTCAAAATTTTCCTACACATAGACAGGATCATGGTGATGCATAGCAACGACAGGGGAGAGTGATGTCCACGTACCCTCGTAGACCGTTAAGCGGAAGCGTTATGACAACGTGGTTGATGTAGTCGTACATCTTCACGATCGACCGATCCTCAGTACCGAACGTACGACACCTCCGCGTCAGCACACGTTCAGCTCGGTGACGTCCCACGAACTCATGATCCAGTAGATCTCGGGGAAGAGTTTCGTCAGCACGACGGCGTGGTGATGACGTTGATGAAGTTCTGCAGCAGGGCTTCGCCTAAACACCGCTACAGTATAACCGAGGTGGATTATGGTGGAGGGGGACACCGCACACGGCTGGGAAAGATCTTTGTGATCAACTTGTGTCTCTAGAGGTGCCCCTGCCCCTATATATAAAGGAGCAAGGGGGAGGCCGGCCGGCCCTTGTTGGCGCGCCTAGGAGCAGGAATCCTCCTCCTAGTAGGAGTAGGATTCCTCCCTTTCCTACTCCTACTAGGAGGGGGAAAGGCAG